TCTAAAAGTAGCTAGATAATAAATAAAGTTAGTATTATATAGTTAAAGTACTTTAATATATATACTAAAAGTTATATTATAGATATATATTATCTACTAATTTTAGATAGCTATAAAAGTTATAGCTCTATTAAATTCTAGTAGTACTATAAAAAGAATAAAACTATAGCTTTTTATATACTAGTATATTTATTATATCTTTTATAGCTACTTAATATTAGCTACTTCTTACTATTAAAAATAGTATATAGCTACTAAGTTAAAATTCTAATATATAGCTATATTAACTATATTATAAAAACTAAGTTTCTATTTATATTTTATATAACTTTTTATATATTAATTATAAATAATAATATTAAAGTAGAATTTAGAAATACTAGCTTAGTTTTATTTAATCTAGATTTAGTAGTATTAAAGCTTAATATTTAATTATATATACTAATACTCTCTACTACTAATACTACTACCTAGAAGTATAAAATATCTAGTAATTCTACTAAATTAAAGTTATAATTAACTTTAATTTAGAGAAAAATTATATAGTATCTTAATTTATTACTAATTTATATTATTAAGTTACTTAATTAGCTTAAGAAAGATAATAAGCTAATAGCGTATTAGCTAGTACTTATAGAGTCTAAAGTTACCTAGCTTTAAGTAGCTAATATATAGAAAAAAAAGTATAATTTATATAAAAGAAAGTAGATTTAAAAAGAAAATACTTTTATAATTAAAGCTAGCTTATAGCTAGTTACTTAAAAAAAGGCTATTAATTAGAATAAGAGTAAGAAGTAGTATAAAGAAGTAGTAGTATATAATAGCTAGCTAGCTTAGTAATACTATAAATACTATAGTAAGCTAGAGTATAATATATAAACGTACTAGATAGTTTAAGATAATATAGATAAGTTAGATAGCTTATCTAGATTTATCTTAAGTAGCTTAGAGTTAGAGAAATCTAAATAAAATAGTAGCTTTTTAGTAGAGGCTTAGTATTTTTAGATAGTTTACTTATATAGATAATTTACTTATAAATTATATTTCTAGAAGAAAACTAGATTTTTACTTAAAAGTTAGTTAAATACGTATAGCTTTTTAATTACGTAATATATCTTAGTATAACTTTAGTAGAAGATATAATATACTATAAAGAATATATATAAAAACTTTTATAGAAAAATATTAAGGTTTTACTTAGTTATTTAAGAAATATAAGTTAATTTTCGTTAATTTTTCTTGCTAAGAAATCGTAGACGGTTCGATAATAAAGTACGTTATTATCTAGAATTTATCTTAGATTAATTAGATATTTATAGAGAGCTTTATAATAGAGATAGTAGTATTTAGTAGAGGCTTAGTATTTTTAGGCAGTTTACTTATGTAGGCGGTTCGCTTATAAAGTACGTTAGATAATTACGAAATTTTAAAACTTTCTTTAACGAAGAGCTTGCGATATAAGATACAGAGTTGGGCTCACAGATGCGGCTTGATAAACCGGCTCTTTGATCGAAGCCTTTCGGTGGCTCCTCACCGGGAACGGGAATGATTCACCGCTGCGGTTGTGAGGTGCCGACTCGCCCGCACGTCGAGGGTGGTGCTAGCGTCTCCGAAGCTCAGGGCATCAGGCAGGTGGGGGATCTGGTGATTGTCTCGAGCTCGCCGACTGTGAGAGTGGCCCTGAGAACGCTGATGGTCTGGAAGACCTTTTTGAAGCGTATTTGATGATGGCGGACTCTAACTGTCTGATATGCGAACATCAGGCCCTTGACTGTAGGATGCCGTCGACTTTTCCGCCTTTGCTTCGGGTTTCGTGCCGCCGACGCCGTTTCCCGGCGTAGAAGGCTGGGGTTCGCTGCGTTCTTCTACATCTCCATCCCACGGTTAGGCCGTTTAATCGGCAATAGAGCATGGCTTCATCTCTGCTGTTGGCGGTGAGCCCGCCTCCTCCGGGAGCCGTCGGTCTGCGCGATCCCCTGTGTTTAGACGAACTCTTTTCGCTCGAGAGGCCTTACGTGTTGAGTATCGGGCCCAATGTTTCGTTTTTGCTCTAGTCCTCGGCGTTCTTTTAGTCGAACGGATGCTCTAGGTGTGGTTTTCGGAACTTCAAGGGTTGGGACGCCTACCCTTCCCAAGACTTCTCGTTAGCCCCTATGCGTGCAATGCCGGAACGGTCGTCCTCTAAGGGGAATAATAGTGCTAACTGCAGTGGAAGTAAGCGTGATCGGAACATTGCTCAACCCTGTCCCAGCATGGAGGCACGAGCATCCTCCGCTCTGCCACCTCCCACATCAATACTAGAACAGCGATCTCGAACCCCAGATCACCAAGGGGGGAGATCCTTTAATGCAGGAATCCAACTAATTTGGGATCTTTGGCTGGTACATCTCCGAGCCATCTCCGCCATCTCCAAAGATCCGAAGAGGTACGAACGTATTCAAATAAATCTTTATTGGGCCTCGCGGATGACTGAATTTTAACGGGGAAAAAGTTAGTGAAGGCTTGAACAGTCGTGTAGCCGGTAGATAGTAGACTTTATTGGATTACGCTGATGCTTGGTTCTGCGATAGAAGGGGGTCACGGGACGAGATGATGAGTCATCGCCAAGCATCCCCGCACGTCCCCAGTCTCTCTTCCGACACCATCGACCTCAAGAATCCCCACCTCCGGTCTACCGATATTCCTCCATCTCCATCTGCATTTATCCATCCACGGGAACTGAAGGTGATGGGGAAACGACATGCGCACGCTCGATGATTGAGCAACGCGACTTCCCACCCTCACCACGTCACCACGTCACATTCTTCACACATCTCACGCTCGTGCACTCCCCGCTCGCGTGTGCCATGCACACATGGCGACAAAGCGGCCCTTCGACATCGACGGCGACAACGATGCCGGCTCACAAACATCGCGACGTTCGCAGGGCTCGTGGTGTGCGCGGGCACCCTCGCAAAGCGCGCGGTCCTTCCAGTCAGACGTCGGCGACAACCTGGCCGCCATGTATCACGGGCGCGTGTGCTGGGTGTGTGGTCTCAAAATCTATGTTGAGAAGGCGCATGTCTTTCCCAAAGCGGATCCGAATTTGCATCGCTTGCGGGCACTCGGCCTCCTATCGCTCCCGTCGTATCGCGATACCGACAACGCCCTCCACCTCTGCGGCGGTTGCCATGCTGCCTGGGACGACGAGCATCGGCCCGGAATCCTCATTGTGCCCACATACCTCGATTACTTCTTCGCTGCCGAGGAGAAATGGCAGGCCGCGTGCATATCGACAAACAAGTCCCGTCCCGCCCCAACGACAGCCGCCTACTTCCAGTACTGCGTCTCCCGAGACCCACGCCCAGACCAGATCGCCGACAGCACGAGAGGTGGTTTATATACGTGCTATTTGGTTGAGGCGTTTCTCCCGTGCTCGGAGACTCGTTCGCACCAGGAGCTTCATTGGCATGGCGACCCCATGGCCATGATGCGCCGTGCCCTCGTCGCTGCGACGAAAATAGTGTGGCCGCCGGAGTACGTTCCGTACGAGCTCCTTGGCCGATTGAGAGAACTTGACATGCTCTACTTCAAGGGCAATAGACTTCAGCGCCAGATACTCGAACAACAGCCTTCTATGGCGCCTCCGCCTCCGCCTCCGCCGGCTCCCACCCGCGATCCTAACGAGCGCTCGGGACCTGACTCCCGTCCCGCACCTAATGCCCATCCCGAACACGACGCCTCCGCCGGCGCGCCGCCTTCGTCGTCCGCCTTCCCTGCTTCGAGTGGAACACAACAGCATGGGGCAGAACTACCCACCGACGGTCCCGAACGCCCACCATCCCCACCTCTTACCATGACACCACGACGTCGGAAGCGTCGTTACGACGCTGATACTAAAGATAGGCCTGCATGCAAGCGCATACGCGGTTATGCGCAGGAAGCTGAACTTGCTATTGCGGAGGGGGCGATGCGGCATAATCTCGATGAGCCATTTGGGAGGGCAGTAGATGCGGATCTTTCGGGACATTATAATTTCGGGCATGCAGCACAGGAGGATGTTGGCAAGGCCCCGCAAAGCGCCGAGGAGAGGTACCCCGACACACTCGCCCTTTCCGAACAGGATCTAGCCAGGTCTGGCGAGTCACAGCCGGAGCTAGATGCTGACACCATTCTCCGCCGCTGGCTTGGAATCACGGAGCAAGATGCAACCGCCTCCCCACACTGGGCAGGTCCTACGGCCGAGATCTCCAATGACACTGCCAGCATTCATACCCAAGAAGCCGACTTAGCAGACGAGGAAAGCGGTGGTGGAAGATTTTGGCAGTATGGACCAACCACTTCAGCGAAAGACGCGATTAGCAGGCATTTATTATTGTATATACCTTAATAGCATAACGTACTTTACTACCGAACGCCCCACGATTTCTTGGTAAGAAAAATTAACGAAAATTAATAGATTTTTCTTAAATAACTAACATACTTTATAAATAAACGTATTATATAAACGAATAATCTAAAAATACTAAGTCTCTACTAAATACTACTATTTCTATTATAAAGCTCTCTATAAACGTCTAATTAACTTTAGATAAATTCTAGATATAGCTTATACTCTAGACTATTTAATAGAATTTAAAGCTAAGCTTATAGCGCGCTATAGCTCTCTATAATATACTATAGAAGAAAGTTTATAGTTAATACGCTAGAGTTACTCTATAATATAAAAAAATATCTAATTAAATAAAGCTTACTATAAATAAAGAATAGGTAATAGTTAAGTATATACTTAACCTAAATATATAAGAATTTACTCTCTAGCTTACTACTATTTAAGATATAGCTAATTAGCTACTTACTAAGTAAAAGAAAAATATTATAGATAAGAACTAGCTAAATAACTTTATTAAGTACTATTCTAAGCTTAAAATATAGCTTAATTATAGATATAACTATTAGAAAGTAAAGTAAGAAATTCTATAATTATTTAGATATAGTTTAATCTAGTAGATAATATAAAAATAAAGTATAGTATTACTAATAAAGATATATATAATTTTAATAAATCTAGCTTTATAATAGAAATAATATTACTTTAGATAGTAGTTACTAGCTCTAAGAGATAATTATAACTAAAGAGTTTTTAACTAGATAATTATAAGTAGATTTTAGTAATTATAATAGTAAGAGTAGTAGATAATATATAGATTTTACTATTTCTTATTATTATAGATAAGAACTATCTCTTAGTATAGTATAAAGATAGCTAGCTACTATATAACTAGATTATAGCTATCTCTAAAAGTAGCTAGATAATAAATAAAGTTAGTATTATAGTTAAAGTACTTTAATATATATACTAAAAGTTATATTATAGATATATATTATCTACTAATTTTAGATAGCTATAAAAGCTATAGCTTAGTTAAATTCTAGTAGTACTATAAAAAAAATAAAATTATAGCTTTCTATATACTAGTATATTTTTTTTATTTTTTATAGCTACTTACTATTAGCTATTTCTTACTATTAAAGATAGTATATAGCTACTAAGTTAAGATTCTAATATATAGCTATATTAACTATATTATAAAAACTAAGTTTTTATCTATATTTTATATAGCTTTTTATATATTAATTATAGATAATAATATTAAAGTAGAATTTAAAGACGCTAGCTTAATTCTATTTAACCTAAATTTAGTAGTATTAAAGCTTAAAGTTTAATTATATACGCTAATACTTTCTACTAATAATACTACTATCTAGAAGTATAAAATATCTAGTAATTCTACTAAATTAAAGTTATAATTAACTTTAATTTAAAGAAAGATTATATAATATCTTAATTTATTACTAACTTATATTATTAAGTTACTTAATTAGCTTAAAAAAGATAATAAGCTAATAGCGTATTAGCTAGTACTTATAGAGTCTAAAGTTATCTAGCTTTAAGTAGCTAACGTATAAAAAAAAAAGTATAATTTATATAAAAAAAAAAAAATTTAGATAAAGAATATCTTTATAATTAAAGCTAGCTTATAGCTAGTTACTTAAAAAGAAACTATAGATTAGAATAAGAATAAAAAGTAGTGTAAAGAGATAGTAGTATATAATAGCTAGCTAGCTTAGTAATACTATAAACGCTATAGTAAGCTAGCGTATAATACGTAAACGTACTAGATAGTTAAAGATAATATAGATAAGTTAGATAGCTTATCTAGATTTATCTTAAGTAGCTTAGAGTTAGAATAATCTAACTAAGATAGTAGCTTTTTAGTAGAGACTTAGTAAAAGTAACTAGCTTACTTATATAACTAGCTTGCTTATAAAGTACGTTATAGAATTTCTAAATAGTAATAGAAGAGTTTATCTTCTTAAATATTAAAGCTTTCTATAACTCTCTCTAATAATAGTTACTTCTAAGTAATTATATTTTAAGCTACACTCGACCTATATTACCTCGCCTGATGTAACTAACGCATTCTCTTCATCTGATTCATGGTCCAGTAAGAAGCTAAGCCATTCATGTTCCCACATTGGTAATTCATCTAGTCTCACTCCGTCGGAGAAGAACGTCCAGGAGAATATATTTCGAGTCGCAATTTCGGAGAGTCGCTCACATGGAGGAACCTTGCCTAGGGGCCATAATATCCCAGGAAGCAGTTGCCAAAGAGCGCATAACTTTCTTCGGAATTGTAATAAGGATTTCCATATTCGAGTGATCCCGATAGATCTCCTATTGCAACGTTCCTCGTGAGAATGTCGGCGTGCTAACGGCGGTCCACCATAATCGGTCAGGTCCGGCCGGTTCTGTCTTCGCCAAACCCAGTTGCTGTAATCAAGACGATGACCGCAGAAAGCGTGCAATCGGACTTCAATAGCGGTCTCGTCCAGTTTGACAAGGCCAAAAGGCGGATAGGGGCTGAGCGGCGGCGTTCCATAACTCTCAGACTCCACATCGGTCAGGTATAAGAGGCGGAACTCATCCTCACGACGAATGACGTTCTCAAGTCGGGCAGTGTGCGAGATTGGTAGCTCTTCGTGGAATGCTGGGTCCATGAAAGATTGACGGCAGTCAGTCCATACGGTTGCTTCAAGGCAGCTTGGTGGCATGAAATTTGATAGGATGGATGGGATCCTCGGCAGCATTCCCGTTATCGCTGACCCTAGCCATAGCGGCGCTGAGCTTGGCCGGCGAGCGCTCATGATTCCGATAATGACCTCGTATTTCTTCTCCCGGATAAGTGGTGGTAATATTTCCGTTAAAATAGGATGGAGCCATTCGCCAGCTACGTTGCAATGCACGCCTGGCTCCCAAAAACAGCCAGACATACATGATAGGACCGCATTAGGGATACATGTCAGTGCCATGAGGTGAGGGAGCTGATCTGCCGATGGTGTATATATGCTCCATTTCGACCCTAGCGTTTCGGTGCTTGTCATGGGCTTCGGCTTGGGGAGTGTGACTGGTGCTCCGAACCTAAGATGACTCGGTATGGTTAACGAGGCGACAAAGGCAGCGATGAGTTGATCGTAGGCATCGTGCAACTTGGCGAAATTGCATAGATACTGCTGGGCTTCAGTAGAAGACGGTGGATGTGACACGTCTGGTGATAGGTGCGGTGTTCCTTCGTATCGAATATTGAACCGTTCTCTCTGATTCAAGTGGCACGCCCACGGTGGGCAGTATGCGTTACCAGAGCGGTTCAGAGTCGCTTGCCAGCCACAACCCCCCGCAAGGATTGCTGCCCACCATCGGCGCTCGTTCGTATCCACGTTGCCAATAGGGATCGTAAAACCTTCGCAGGGTAAGGCGGAGCCATTGCAATGCCATGCCGCTCTTTTATCGGTGTAGATGACTGCATCTTCCTCCGCCCTCTTGCGCAATTCAATAAGACGCGTGGAGAGAATATACGACCAGCCCAAGACCAGAGCGAAGATATAGTTACCACGAGAAGCGCAGGTCGGAACTGGTTCAAAGCCAACCCATTCCGGAAAGAACTCGTCTGAAATGTTGCAGAAGGCCGGATTGGCACCACCGATGTTGATTCTCTGACGAGGTGAAGTTTTGGGTTTCGAGGTAAGATCGCAGCTTACTGAGGAGCTGATTGTCCACTGTGAATATCCTTCCAAGAACAACACCGTTCCTTCAACAACATCTTCGACGCTCTGTTCGTCAGGGATAGAAGGCGTTTGATGCAGAAGATTGCTGGTATTGCTGCATGATTGCGGCAGATGCGTCGAAGAACGGGCTACAGAAAGCAGGGCGGCCCATGTTTGCCGGGAGTGGGTGAGGATCTTCAACGATTGTCGCTTGCTGGGTCGCAGGAGGTCGTCTGGAGGGGAACTAAAGCCCTTCCACCGCATGGGGGTATTGGGTATTGTTCGCACTCGAAAGGACAACGACCTTGGAGAAAGTGGGAATGGCAAATGATGGCGCGGTCGCTTGAGAGGTAGTAGCGTTCGCGTGGAAGACTTGGCAATACCTCGCCAACCAATGAGGTCTTGATGACCTCAGCACCACAGCCTCACGGCTTGCATGAGGGACGCTGGTGTCCGCTGTTGCCTAAATTTCTACCAGGGTATAGCAGGGCTGGTTGAATGATGAAAATGTTAGAATAGGGCATCCCAAGCACGAGGTTCCTTATCCTGCTCTGACGTGCTCACATTTCACCCATGTGAGAGAACTCCTCGCGATGGTTCGATCCGAATAGTTTCCACACGTCGCTCTGACTAACTATTCTGTAGCGCTCTTCGTCGTCCGGTCGCAAAGGGTCATGCGCAGTGTGCAACCACCTAAATTCCGAGCATACATACGAAAAATGCAAAGGGTGCAAAAAGCTGTGGAAGATTTGTCAGGTTAACGGGCAATGGAGATTGTGCACAGAATGTAAAGATCACCCTGGAGGCGGGCCGGATGGAACTGAACCGAATGGGTGGATTCGAGAAAACGCGGCAAACCACCCACTCTAAGAGCCCACACAACGAAGCCACTCCATAAGGTGAATGGTGAATCAAGGATCCGGATGACAAACGCCTAGTGTTCTTGATAGGACGACGCTACGAATTCCATTCGCCGTTAAGTGTTTCGATTGCAATGTCTAGCTCAACCACCCCCTTCGGTCGGCTCGCTCTGAGGTTAATTCAATCTTTTCACAGCCACTTAGAGTGAACATCCAACGTATATCTAGAACTACGCACCAGTCCAGAGCTTGTGTATCAGTCCGAATTTCTCCATTCTCCTTGTCTCTATGAACGCCTCTTCTATATCCGTGTCTCTTTGCGGGATATTTCTATTTATGGGCCTCTTCTCATAAGCCGGCCTATGTCTTCAACCGCTACGTCCTCGTCCGGCTAGACTGATTTCTCCGTGTCTCCCCCATATGTTGGCCAGGTTCGTCCAACACGCCAGGTAGAAGGCTCCTTTGAGTCGAACGATGCCATCAATACCATAGAACCTGGCTTGCTTCTCTAACACTCAGAGTTCTACCCGTGCCGCCGCACGATGACCCGCCTTGAATGAGCCGACTGGTTGTTTCGTCCAGGTCTCGCGTGTCGCGCTGGGCAAGAACCTCGAGCTATCGGGTGTGTGGGATAGGTATTCGTGGAAGAGGCCTTAACCCCTTGTAAGGGGGAAGCAGGCACCTCGAGCGGTGTATGAGGGCGAGGGCGAGAAGCGCGACAGGATAGGTTTGTTGATCGAAGGAGCTTTGAGTGGTAACCTAGACTCAACACGACAGGAGAGAATGTCGACTCCTCGATGTCCTTGACAGGCTCCGTATTTTATCCTTTATGTATCCCAATAATGTCCTGGCTCGGCCAAGTTGAGGCTCTATCTCTCGTCATACTGTCGTGGTGTGAGGTCCGCAGGCGTTGCTTGACGTGCCTTCAAGCTCGTAAGTCTTTGGGGGGGGGGGCCGGGGTAAAGCCGGGGCCGGCAGCTCTTGTTAGCTCCTACCTTACCTTCACTCAAGTTCCGACTCATCTTTCTCACCACACTATACGACCATCGACGCCGGGTACTCCAGCCTGAGTCCTCGCATACTCCGCTCGCGTCGACTACTTCGGCTACGGCTGGCTACGCTCCGACCATCTACAACCCTATCGTAGAAGCAAGGCTCCATCAATAGCTCTTCTCCCTCCTCACATCATCGCCATCCTGCCCACCGACTCCTCCAGCCACACCCTTTCTTGACAGGTACCGCATGGCGTCCATCCTTCTCTCCCTCTTTACACTCTTCAGGACGCTTCCTTCCAAATACCTCGGAAGATCCCGACCTCCAGGCGAAACACACCCCGATGCGGTCGTACCCGAAACCAAGCGATTCCTTGCTGCTGGGAAATCCGGGGTCGTTTATGAGATCGATTCAGAACGTGTCCTAAAGGAGTATCACGATGCTGACGCTTGCAGGACTGAGCATATCGTTTACAAGCGGCTTGATTCACACCCTAATATCGCAAAAATGTTGGAAATGCGGACGGATGGATCTAGAACCTCCTCAAGACCCTCAAGAAGAGCCCGCAAAATCGCCAAACCGTGCTGCAGCCTGCTACCATCCTCACTGATGTTATTTATAGTTTCCTGCCTAGTATCGTAGTACTCTTACCCGCGGTCTACGCGACATTCTTAATGCTCCTCCCGTTCCTTCTACGCCCACACGCACGCCGAATTTGATAGCACGAGAACGAAGAGAGTAACGCCAGGGCAAGGGCACTGGCGGACAGGGGTCATGGCTTATCAGGACGGCGGGGGAACCGGAGGAACCCAGCTCTGGATCTATGGCCTCTTCATGTCTCGCAGTGTCCGCACTCAGTCATCGCCATCGGGGCAGGAATTGTATAATGCGGTGCAAGGACAGCGAGTGGCGATGTTGCAAGCCCCGTTGGCGACCTCACCAAGGCTCCTAGCTGAGAAGGAGTCTTAAGATATCGCAAGGCAGCTTGGGTGGAAGGATTCACGCTTTGCAGGACATATCGGGTGAGCGAGTGTAAGGCCCACACATTTAGGGTTCCGCTTAGTCGAAAGCGAGCCTAAAACGCTGTGCCACGGAAAAGGGTGGAGCACTTGGATCCATTTCGATACCCGGGTGCAAGGCAGAGTAAGTCGCGTTGCCTGAACGTGACTCAGCACTTGCATCTTTTGCTAATTAATTTCATTGCCGGCTATTAAACACAAGCCCTCGGTCCCACAGCATCGCCGTCACCTCTCTGTGGAGTATTGCATGTTTCCCGACTGGAAATCATTTCAGCGCAAGGCAGCACGAAGATTCAAGGAGACGGACCAGATCTGCATCCCCCATGTCGCTTGCGATATCTAAAGCTGTCCGGCCTTTTGTGTCTTTAATGTTTCGATCTGCCCCCATCTGAACCAGATACTGGATTACATCGACCTTTTTCAGCTCAACCGCTCTGTGCAATGGAGTACCCAGGCCTTTGAAGTGCTCATGATTCCAAGAGTTCAGATGCTCCGAGTATTGTATCTTGTTGAGCGATGCGCCCCTAGAGAGCAGCATCTGCAAAACTTCGATGGAGTCCTGACTTCGCTCGACGGCGTGATGTACTAATTGTCCCTTTTCGATGCTACCTCGGTCAAGCAGGATGTTGATATTTGAGGGGCGAGCACGACGAACGGCGAAGGACAATGGAGTCAGGTCCAAATAACATCCAGCATCGGGATTTGCCCCTCGATCGAGGAACCATTGGATAAATTCCGGGTCGTCAACAAAGCACCTAGGGTACGTCAGCTTGTATCTGTCAGCTTACCAAGCTTCTCTTAACTTACGCAAGTACCGGAGGGTGGAGATTGTCCCATATCATGTTCACATCCCATCCGCTCTCGATAAATGCCTGAAAGACTTCCTTCGACCTAGTTTCGATTGCTTGCCGGATATACATCTCATTCATCACCAATCCTTCAGATAGAAGAAGCTTGATGATTTCGGGTCGAGCGGACTGCACAGCGGAGAGAAGGACAGGCCAAAGCTCACACAAAGGGTGGCCTTTCTGCTTGAATGCTTCGAGGGCGTTGCGAAAAGTCTCGTTGACGTCATTGACATCAAGATCTCCAAAGTAACATATCTGCGCAAGATTGGATATTTCCTCGGGTGGAGGGGTGTTGTTGGCAGGTGGAAGAGTTACAGTAGAAGCCATGTAGTCGCATGCGCATGTACTAGGGCAGGAGTGGAACCTTTTAAAGGCTTACCCGCCCCAGACGCCGAGATGCCAAGATGCCAAGATGCCATGCACAAGAAGCGCTCGCCCGCACGAGCCCTCACTACCCTCCCGTCCGCTGCAAAGCGTGGCTTCATCTGCCGGCCTGAAGTCTTTCCGTGGAGGACAAAGCGAGCTAAGGTATGTCAACGTCCCTCTCCATTGTTACCGCGCTAAAAGGCAAAACAAGTCGCAGCTGGGTGTTCGAGACGCCCATAGCCTCCGCGATACGGCGCGCGACAATCATACGTGCTGGGGCAGCACCCCGGCCCGATTCGAAGAAGCGTACAAAGGCGTTGCGGATAGGCTAGAGCTTCCTAGGCGGCTCGACCCAAAAACGGACGGTATACGACTGGTCGGCACTATGTGATAAGGCAAACGGACTATGGACGACAGCGGTGGAACATTGACGACGCGGAGACGTTCTTCCAATCGCGACAGCCGCCATATCGATCTTTTGCCTAAACGTCACCCGTCCACTGGCTCTTTTGCTTGATCACGACAACTTATCAACTGGTTCGGAAGCCTTGTATTATGCACAGAATCCATCACTGACTTAAGTGTTAGTCTCTCTACCATTCGTCATGTCCTCTTATGCGACGCCTAGTCGCTTAGCTCAGGCGGAAGCGGTTGGGAGAGTTCTGGTTGTAGCTATGAACGAAGTCGAGTTTGTTGCATTTAGCCAGAAGTCAGCCATTGGAACAAGAGACCTCGCAGGATGCTCTGTGGTTGTCATCGCCTCCGCTTACGGTGCAATTTTGGCCCATATTCCACCTCGCCCAATCCCTAACACGCTAGACCCTTATGCCGGAGACCAAAACGTACAGCGACTCATGGAACGGGTTGAAAGCTTGTATACTCAAAAACGAAATTACTTTCCAGATGCTGACACGTACGCTGTCTTCGCCATCTACAATGGAGGTGTTGCCTTGCCCGACCAGAAAAAAGTCATCGTGGATAAGATCACCCAAATGGGATTGCAGCCCTTCCATAATGTTCTTTACGTCACTCCACGAGATCCCACAAATCAAGCTCACGGAACAGTCTTCGTAGACTCGCTCAACCGGGCCGGCCAAAAACCTGTCGTCTACTCGGAAGACCGCCAGGTGTCAAGCGAGCAACTCGATCACCAAAGCCAACAAAGCCAACAAAACCAACAGACCCCACCAACCCAGCAGACTCCCTCCACTTGGACTTGGAGTTCGGACCACAGGCGCTATTATAGGTGGATCGTAAAAGATGGGGTTCAACAGATCGATTGGGCGCCTCCCTCTCAGTAGTGTGGTTTTCGATACTCGGGTCCTTGTGAGCTAGCACACTTTCCGACGGTTCCCGGCGCCAGAACGCCTGCGCAATCGGGTGGCCCTGCTTCAAACGCCATCTAGGTCCTCCAACAGTTCCGGGCCGTCTACGCGTTGCTGAGGCGTGCGAGAGCTCGTCAGGGTAAGGGTTGAGTCCTAAGAGGGACCTTGAATTTACGATGCTTCATGGGCAATAGAAAGCTCTCCCTCTTTCTAGAAGTAGTAAATGCAATTTTGCCTCAACTATGACTCCGTCTCTTACGAGCATGTCCACGTAATACAAACGTGCGAGCCGATTTTCAAGCACACATCTTGTATCAACCCACTCGTGTCAACGGTTGCTCAGCGTCTACCAGACGGAGCGCGTGCGCGAGGACCTCACGCGCAAGCGGTTTGGAGCCTGTGCGGGCCGAGCAGCCAACGAGCCCTTGTTCAAAGTCCTCCCAAGACTTGTCTATGCAAAACGACCCGCGGGCCCCCATCGAAGCTTCGCTTGCCGAGAAAGCTAAACTTAAAAAGCGCAACGATATCACGATCAGGAAGACCGCACTCAAGCTGGCCAAGCTCGGCGGACAGAAGCCCGAGATCGCCCTCGCCAAAGCTTCTCTCGATCAACGACGGCGGATTCTACACAAGCTGTTACTTATGCACGAGCGGGAGGAATACTTTGCCGGGGCAAACAGTCTCCGAGCCCAAGGTTTGACGTGTGCGGGAAGCAACGCGAACACATGATAAACGGAGCCTCACGCTTATCACGGAAGGATTGCCGCCCCCATACGGTTCGTCAACAGAGCCTTTGTCTTACTATTCCAGACCATCCGTTGCTATCTAATCATCAGGTAATACTCGATGTTCATCTTCGATTTCTTGCGTGGGCTAGGCTCCCGCCTGTCCCGAGAATTCATCTGTTAGGCGCCACATCACAACCTGAGACGGGAAACACTCTGCCACAAGTCCGCACCGGCATGTGCTACCCATGCCATTACACTCTAGACATGGCCGACTTGATTCCGACCGCCAATGCTGCGGGTCTAGTCTCCTCATCCGCGTCGCTAGAAAGTGTGTCCATTCCATAGGCCCTTGCTCCGGACTACCGAGTCGCCTTCTTCCTTGGCCGACCTGTACCGGCGCGCGGGGCCGGACGCTTAGTCACCCGAGCCGGTGTTGCGGCCGCCGCTGCATTGCTGGCCGCCTTTGCCGCGATCCTCGCGCTACGACGGAGCGGTTGGCCTGGCGGCGGGTGGTATCGGCGTCGGCGCTGCATCGGTGGCGGTGGCTCGGGAGGCTCCTCTGGTGCCGCGGCCGTGGAGGGAGCGTCAACCCGGCCGAAGTTGAAGAGTCCTCCGTTGGCAGGCCGCGAGGAGATTGGAAGCATAGGGGCCCAAGTCCCGAGGTTTGGTGAGTAAGCGCGTGGTGGCGTCGGCGTCGGTGGCGGGATGGCCTCGAGCGCGTCGGCTTCGGACGGGCTGAACTCGAACGTGGCTAGGTTGTTGAGCCCCGAGAGGTCTTCGGGTTCCGGGCTGGGGCTTTCGTGGCGCCACTTCCACCCGATCAGCTCGTCGCCTGTAGATTTTTGCCAGCCCGCCTGCCAGTCACCTCTGTCTTTCCAGCGCCCCTTGACGATTGTGGGAGCCGATAAGTCGTAGTGTCGCCTTATCTGCGCCGATACTCGTTCCAGTCTCTGGCCCTCCTCGCGGAGCTCGACCCTAAACATGAACCAGGGCCGCGACGTGATGAAAGACTCTGCCTGTGAGATCGAGGCATCCTCCCCGAGGCACGAGCGTGGCTGTACCGGACTGTGCTCGCCCCGCCGCACGCCCTCGCGCAACTGCACCACACGCGTCACCGGATGGTCTGGATTCTGGGCTATTTTGTGGGTTTTGGGAAGCCAGCCGGCATCGGGGACGTCTTGCTGCCACCGCCATTTCCAATCATACGTCTCGTCGCTGAGATCTGGATTGTCCGCCCGGCCGGGTATGCCCCATGCCGGATTCCAAACACCGAGCTTCTGCCATCGCCGCCGGATGTTGCGGCGTGCAATTATATTCACGCGTTCGCGGCCCGCTCGCCCCTTCTTTGCCGACCCCAGCTGCCTAAGATAATCCTTCGTCTCGTCGTTGGCGCTACGGCTGGCCCATGTCTCGATGCGATACTTTTCGAGTTCCAACTCCTTGTCGTAGCGTTCGCCGGGGTGGTATGCTCGCTGTCGACCCGAACTTGCTAAGCCCAATGCCACCCTGTCGCGCTCGGCATCGTCGAGAGGTTCGTTCAACAGCCGATTCATCTCGTCGGGCATTATAGCGCCAGCTGCCTGGAGAGCCAAGCGCTCGTACCCTTCCTCGGGGTCTTCCTCGGTCGACGACACGTATGGCGGGGGTTCGTCCCGATCAAACCGCCGGAGGGCGCGTTCGCGCGCGGCGGAACTCCCGGCGAGGTGCTCCAGGGCCGGTTGCGCCTCGTTCCGCAGCGCGTTGGCGATTTGCGCGGCATCGAAGAGGCGAGAGGCCATGGCTGGTGTCGGGTTGTCTGTACGGGTCGTGGTTGCATGTGGATGGGCGAGGAAGAAAGAATTTTGACGATTGTCAGGATGGGCTGGGTTGGGGTTGTTGGGGGGCGGTCGGTTTAAGGTTTTGCCGACGCCGACAGATCGCTGCCTGGTTGCCCAGACCCATCCTCAGCCAATCATGCGCGCGATTTTGCCGCGTCGCGCCTGGTTGGCCAGAAACTCCGCCCTCGAGATGGCGCGGCTCACCATGAGCTTGCCAAGCGTGTGCCCAAACCATCTCGCAGCGCGGGTCTTCGGGCGTTGGGTGGGCGTCCCAGTCCGGGAGCCGGCCTCCGTTCGCAAAGTCGGCGTAGTCCGTGGTGATCGGCCCGGTCTCCGGATCTATCGTATGCATAAATCCGTGGAAATCTTGGCGACACCTGAAAATTCGCGCCCAGAGACGGAATGTGAGCATCGCGAGCGCTCCATCTGGCCAATCAACGCTCGATAGCACCGTGTCCCTCCTCCTTCCGCCGTTGTGAGTGACAATACATGTTCGTATGCGCAGTTAGAGCGGTCTACATCGCGTAGGTTGTAGTCCCCCGGGAATGGACTGCGGGAGCGTTTTCTGGATGGACGAGGCGGGCGGGGTGATATTGGCTAGTCAGCGGAGCCAACCGCGTGGATGACGGCGGAGTCGAACGTCGGGAGAGGAGTGTGCGTGTACTAAAGGCTGTGGAGTCGCAGCTTGGCATGCGGAGCGAGAGTGGAGAGGGAAGGATGGCTGAGGCATCGATTGTTTGTTATTCGAGAGGTTTGGCGGGTCGATCTCGGAGAGGGCCCCTCTCCTCACGTGATTCTGCGCCGCTGTGGCTTAGCCAGCTCAGCCTCGGCTTAGGGCTGCTCAGGGCTGCTCACTCCGTCGCTTCGCAACATGCGACAACACCCCACCGTCTCGCTCGCGTTAATATTCACGCCCGCTCTGACAGTGTTAAATTCATCACTGCGTCTCGCTGATTTCCTGCGGTAAACCTTCCTCACTGACTTCGCCGCCTGTCGGTTGTTGCTCATCTCACGCATTGTAGCCAGAATATCATCGAAGGCGAGGTAGCGCGAAAACGTGTCCGCCGCAACACAGTCGGAGAATGTGAGTGAACCGAGCCCGGCGCAGTCACAAGCTAACCATCGATCCCGACCAGAACGAAACAGCGAATAGCTATCTCCATCCTCTCCGTCGCCTTGCAATCGCAGAGTCTCAGCCAGAAGGGCCCGCTATTCCAGTCCTTCTCATCACGTCCTATCATCGCCCACACGCTCCTCATTCTTAGATACGCTCACCACCCCTACCTCCTCGATACGCTCTCTATACCAATCTCGTATGCCCACACCCACTCCTCGAATACGATCCTTGGCGAAACTAGGCACACCACATGGCCGTCGAATACAGATCGCGCGAAGACCACAGCGAAGATATCTCCAAGTACGCAGCGAAGGCGGGTAGTTATGATGCATTATCAGCACATCAAATATCTCGGTTTTTCAATTGACACAAATTTACCACGAAGGCCGACTGCGATCGCGTGGCCGCCGAAATCTTGAAGAGTCCCGTCTCTCCTACACAAATACAGGGCGGACAAAGCTATACTGTGACAGTCAACTCCGGCCAGGCGTTCAATGTAGTCCAATTTCGATCCTCGAAGTTGGATATCAAGCTTGTTGAGCATGCAAAACAAACTTACCGAGATTTTGTACCTAACTGCAAGTACTTTGGGATGTTAGGGGACGTCTATGTGTATATTTGGGACCTCGTTCCTGGGCCTGCTTTTTGTCGAGTGCGGTGTTAGTTTCTTCACCTTGGGATGCAACAACGTCTGCGTCAAACAGTGCTCGACTTTGCAAGGTCTGTTAACATGTAATTTCTATTATAGCAAGCTCCATGCTAACTAGAAGATTAGATTCTCTGCCTCGGCATGGATCAATAAACCACTTAGGCGAACTTCTGGCTCAGTTGAAGAGTATTCTCGCACGCTAGACCAAATTTCCCACGGCTTACCTGGACGAATTCGATGGAAGCTAGACGACGTCCGCCAAGGGCTCCCATTAATCTTCCGTCCGGAGTACCCTAAGGCAGTCCAGCACGATGACTTCTTAGAAAACAACTTCCACGTGAATGAAGCAACGGGCCACATTACAGGTGTTGTGGATTGGGCTGATGCTATCTTTGCCCCGTTTGGGCTTTCTCTTAGTGGTCTCGAGACAATACTTAGCGTTCAGACTTCGAATTATTAGTACTTCCATCCTCACCATGTTGAGCTTAGGGCGCATTTCTGGGATACTTTCTACGGAGAGATTGGTCAGATCTCAGCTTAGGATTAACGTTCAATCGAAGTTGCGAGGCTATTTGGATTGTTCCAAACCTACGGCTTTGAAGAGGGAGATGCGAGAATCGCGTATCTCGAGGCGTTATGTATGCTTTAGACACCAGACACCAGACACCAGACACCATTCTTTAAACCCAAGAATCCGCCATTATCGTTATTTCTCAACGAACGTTCGAGCACCGAGTATTGTTCAGGCTACCCGTGATAAATCTCCTACCCTATCCAAAAAGTAGTCATCCTTAGAAGGCCTCTGGTAAAGTCGATAATGCTGATTAATCTCCAGCTCCTCATTTAGGTGCAGATGCCGGGTACATGTCCTATCTGCAGCGGCACTGGAAAGCAAGGCGAATACGATTGTAGTGCCTGTCATGGCAGTAGCAAGGACACTTCTTCCGACTCAAAGTAACAGCGAAGCCTCATGCGCATCTTTAGGCAGGGCTTAACCTAACTAAGAACTGGTATTGGATGGGTGGCTAGAAATTTAATGCTTTTTACCTTTTGGCTGTTGGTAATCTGTGATGCAAATCTGTTGGGGTGCGGGGTTGTTCGACTTTCGGGCGCCCTAGCCGAGAGAGTTCGCACACTTGCATGTGCACGTACACCTGCACACCTGTACGCACACCTGTACGCACACCTGTACGCACCTCTGTACGCACCTCTGCACGTACCTCTGCACGCACAATCTCCTTGGCGACTTTTCAACGGTAATTATATCAGCCTTCCTTCTGCTTCCCTTTATAGCAGTGTTTAACAAAGAACCTTAGCCCAGCACAGCTTTATTCCTGCGCTAGCGCGACGCTAATTACTCGTAAGTCAAGTGCTCTACATGGCTAACTAACTCTAAGTAGTTGTCACGATACAGGCACCCCCTCTCTAATTAACAATTCCTTTGTTCTTTTCTCCGCTTCTTAACTACCGCCTATTCTAGTTCTAAACATAAGTCTCTAATAATAGCGGCTACAGCTATTATAGTCGTGCAAGCTATCTCTAGTCTTTACCTTTCTTTAATAGTAGATAATATAAATAAGTCTAATACTACGTAAGTCTAAACATCTCTCTTTACTTATTCTATAAGTCTATGCTAACTTAGAGTTCTTAACTAAAGATATAATAGGCTTTCTTATATCTTCTCTAATATACATATTAGTCTAAATTATGTTAAGAACCTCTTAGCTATATTTACTAAGCACGAGCTACGTAAAAAGATTAGTATCTACTAGCTTTATAAGTATAACAATATTCTAAAGAAGTAGGTAAAGCTTAAGATAAAGCTAAAGACTAAGCCTAGTAAATAGACTAAGCTAATTCTAATTAACTTCTTAGATCTTAAAAATATTCACCTAGTTGTTTTAAAGTTTATTCTTAAGTCTATTGCGGGAGAGCTTTGTCTTTATCTTAATTCTTACGAATTTAGCAAGAGCCTCTCGCCTATCTTACTTTGTAACGTAGACGATAATAACTATCTTAAGAAGGTTATCGACTATATTACTAGAAACGATCTAGCTAATATAATTACGCTTAAGTTCTTAGATCTAGTTAAAGATACGCAGCCTAAGAAATATACTACTAAAGTTAAGATTAGTAAATATAATACTATCTTGTTACCTAAGTCTATAATAAATAGCGAAAAATTTATTTCTACTAGTTAGCCTAATACTAGCTAGCCTTTCGACTCTAATAGAGAACCTAATTCGGGTATATATTAGGTTAAGGTAAAGGTAAAGAATAAGGTAACATATAAAGTCTTTATTAACTAGATTAAGAATAAAATAAACCTGCTAGATAAGTTAGTCTACTAGAGTATTATTAGAGTCTAATATTTATAGAAAAGTTAGTATAAACCTAGAAGAAATAGAGGTCTTATAGTCTTGCTAGTTATTACCGCTATTTATACTACTCTTAGATAATAAAAAATAATTAGAGAGGTATATATACTCTATATTTATATCTTATTAATATATTAGATAATACGTGCTTAACTATATAAGTATTTATACGTATTAAAATAACTCTACCTTTAGTTAAAGTTAAATATAGTAGCGCTAGTTAGCTAAATCTATTATATACATAAATTCGTAGAAATCTTAGTAATACTAAAAATTCGCGCGCGCGTAAAAAGCCTTATATAAATTATAAATTTAACTATAACGCGTTAATAATAGTCTATAAACTATTAAATAACTATTAGTAAGTTATAAAACTATATAAATACGTGTATAGAGCTATACTAACGCTTTTTTTAGTAGAGTAGTCTATATTTTAAGCTTACGAAGTTGCTTCTCGCCCTCTTACGTCTACGTAGGCGCGTTGCTTGCTAACTATACTCTAAAAGCTTATAACTAAAGGCTATAGGCTAGATTCTCGTTATTAACTTAATATTTATTACTTTCTACTACTTAGCTAGCGCTATAGCAATATTGTAGCTATAGTAGACGTATTATTATCGAAGATATACAAAATTAAGTAAAACTTAAAGCTTTATAGAAGTACTTGTAAGCCTAGTAATTCTAACGCTATACTTAGTCGCTTACGTAAATTATTACTTAATAATAAGTAAGCGCTTTATAATAAGCTGTTTTAGAGTAGTTAGATATATTAGAGCGAGATTGTATACTAGCTATAGATAAAAAGAGGCGTTTAAGTATACTAATCTACTATTAGTTAGCTATTAAAGAATTACGAGTAGAGTAAGCGCGCTCTATAGCCTATATTAATACTACGTAATAAGAAGCTCTATAAGGCTTATTATAGGTGTATAAGGTAATTTATTACTACTAATTTAGTATTTCTTAATAAGTTTATTTTTAATAAGAAGACTAGCTAGTAGTATAGAGCGTATACTCTAATTAGGTTTACTAATTAATATTTCTAGAACGTATAGCGTAGTAAAACTTAGGCTATTCTTCTAGTATATATAGTTAATAGTTATCTACTCTATACTAGTATAAAGAAGAGCTATTTTAGCTATAAGAACTTTCTTAATTAGATTCGCGATTTGCTATTACCTATGCTCTAGGTAGTATATAGCTAGAAGCCTATAGTTATAATACTTAATAATATCTTAATTTATATAAACTAGAAGGTAGTAAGAGTAATTAAGAAAGCTAGCTATATTATTAGATTTCTGCTACCTTATTCGCCTAATTTTAACTTAATTAAGCTTACCTTTAGAGTTCTAAAGGCCTAGATTTGCTATAACTACTACTATATACAGTAGCGCTTTAATAACTTTAGTAACTTTCTAAGAGGCTCTATTCGCAAAAGTTGCTACGATTAGTTCGCGAAAAAGTACTTTAAGCACGCTGCTAACAGCTTGTATAGAATAGAGAGCTAGAAGTAGCTCTAGAAGGCACGTAGAGAGATATAGAGGTAGTAGTAGAGCGTAGAGTTATTAAGAGAGCTATTAAACTTATTAAGTTAAAAATTTACTACTAAGTAAAGTAGTAACGTAGTAAAAAATATTAATTACGTAAAGTCTATACTCTATAATTATTATTAACTTAACTAGTAACTCTACTACCTATAGCGCCTCTATTACCTATACTTATAAGCTTAACAATAGTAGTAGCTACTCTATAGTACTATTTATACTTCTTTAAGTTATCTTATAGGTGCCTAATAACTCTATTCTTTAGTCTAAAGCGCTTACTAATCGCGATCTTATAGAGCTCTTCTCTAACACTTAATATCTTCTTAAGATCTTTAATAGTCTATTTCTTCGATATTACTATATTTTAAGCCTACTAGTAGTTCTTACGATTATTCTCTAGCTACTAGTTAATTAGCTAGTTAAAAAACTCTCTTACTATTACTCTTATATTCTTCTAGCTACTTATAGAGCTTAAATTAATAATAGAAAGAGCGAAGGCGCTGCCTAGCGTACGCGAACGCTAACTTAGTAGAGGTAAGTAATACTACTATAGCTATTAAAGCTATAATACAGGAGCTAACAGAGCTATAGAATAAGTAGAATAGCCTATTTAGAGCGCTATAGACACTATAGGCTAGCTAAATCTAATAGCGCTTTGCTATAACTAAACGCTCTTACGCTAGAGCTTAAGTAGCTCGTGTTTCTCGTCGCGCTAGCAAGCTTTGTTAACAGCCTTCTAGCGCTTCTTCTAGTACTTACGTTAATTAAAGTTACGCTAGAAGTTACTCTTACTATTACTTCTATTGCTCTCTAAGTTGCTACAATAGCCGCGCCGGCCTTTTAAGCGCTTTTTACCTCTCTAACACTTTAGCTAGTTGCCTTCGCTAGCAGAGCTTTACTAGTAATTAATAACAGTTATTAGCAGCGTAAGAAGCTTGCTCTAGCTAGTAATAATCGCGTTCGCCTAGAACTTTAAGTTAGCGACGCTAATAGCGTAGTACTTATAGTTAGACGTTATCTAATACTAGTTTCTAAAGTTTATATACTTACTATTATAGTAGAGCTAGTACTAATAAAGACTTCTCTTCTAGTTCTACGCTAATAATAAGCTCTCTACGCGCTATATAGCTCTTAACTCGTTAAAGAGCTACTATTAATAGCGCGTTAGCTTTTCTAGTTATAGAGTTATCTTACCTATATTAGATAATAGATTATTAAACGATTAATTACACTTAAAAACCTTTTTAAGAGCCTTAGCCTTAATACGCACCTTAAAGGTAACCTCTATAAGCTAAACGCCTAGTAATTTGCTAACTTAGTACTCTATAGCTTTAAAAAGCTTATCCTTCTCTACCTAGCTAAAATTAGCTAGCGTTATAAGTATTTTTCGCAACTTTACGCCTGCTTAAAAAGCTACTATACGGCTCTTAAAGTTAAACTTACGCCTACTAAGTTAAGCCTCTAGCTGCTCTAACATATTATTTATAACTTTCTCTACTATATTAAGCTACTAAAAATAGTAATTGTATCTCTCTAGTAGGTAGTAAATAGTACTCTTACTATTAATAATAAGCTTATAATCTACCTCTAGGTTAAACTCTACTTACGAAATTAGCGACAATAACCTAGATAGTAGAGAGCGAAGAGGCTTACGCGCGCGCAGCGTAGTAGGTAATAGTAGTAGTAGCGTGCTCTTAATAGTAAAGTTAATACGAGTAGGCTCTACT